AATTTATTTTTGGAAACGCATCCTAGTTGCCTTGGCGTTAGGTTTTACTTCTCTATAAATACAAGTTCTCTCCCTTGTAATCATGTGTGGATCCGAAAATAGCAATAATATTCCTGGCTTGGTAGTGCCCCCAGACGTAGTCATTCGTGGTGAACTGGGTTGCCAAATTTCGCGTGTTCTTTAATTGTTCTTCGTGTGTGTGAGTCTAATTCCTAACACAATTGAAAAAAACGAAAGGCATCCCATTCTCGAGCCACTAAATCGAGAAGGTAGAGGGTGAAAACGAGAAATAAGTAGCGACAGGATCAGTGAACGAGGAGACCGGGCTGCAGCTGCACAAAGCAAAAGATCCGTATGTGCCGCTTAATTTATATGTTGCGCCCGCTCCATTCTAGCTCTAACAGGTTAAAGAGTTCTAAGTTTGAAAAATCTTGTGATGAGATTTATGATTTGTTGTCTGCAATAAATATGAATTTCCTTTGTCTTGAAATGATCATAATAATATGCCATTTTTAATATGCCATAAAAAGCAAGGTGTTCTTCTTTTTATGCTAAGATCATGAGGTCAACTTCAGGTTGGATTGAAATTTGAATGCTCGTATGTAAGCCCTTTAGTGCCCCCAATTTAGAATACAAACTTTGAAACTTTCATTCCATTTAAAAGTAACACCATCAATTACTCATTTTCCCAATTTAGTCCAAAGAAATCTCAAATCTTTCAAGCAAAATCCTTACCAACAAAAATCGTAATATTATTAATACAAAAATAAATCTCAAACCTCTTAATTATGTTATACGAACGTCGTCCCACTACCATTGAAACATGAGAAGGAAGTCCGCTTGTTAAGAAAAGAGAATTTATGTGATTGATATTGAATTGATAAAGTAAAAATAAAATATGACTAATCTAGAACCACATAAAATTGGGCCTATTAGGTGAAAACTCTAGAATTCGGTCGGTTAATCATATCATTCATGCTATATACATTTATTACTTGGCATATGCCATTATAATTACAAGCAAGTTCCAAAAGCGAACCCACCGTACTTAGGTTAATCATCGAGCAACCACCACCACACCCGGACCATGGTACGTAATTGCGGGGCCGGCCATGGTTCTGGTTCCCCAACTTCTTTTACTCACATGTGTCTGCATGTTTTTCCTGAACACTTTCTACATGATCGTCTCAACTTACAGATTAACCTCAAGATGTATAAAGAAAACTATGGATGAAAAGGGAGTCTTTGGCCCAAAACCTCGATTCCTCATTAGAAACATCCTTGACACCGCCGCTAGCTTGCCAAGTCCCCAACCCATGATATGCACTCTATCCACGCGTTGTACCCCGCCTTTTGCCTATTTCATTGCCTGGTCCAAACAATACGGTACATAGTTACGTACTAATCCTCCCCTTAATTGCTTAGGATTTGCTAAACAACCCTCTGTATCTTACTCGCCCCGTCGAATTGCCCATATCTCTGTTATATCATTTTACCTTTTCCACCAGGGGTTCTTATGAAGGCGGAGGCGGTCTGGCTGAAGGAAGATGGCGGCCTACCTGAAGACGACGATTGTCTGGCTGAGGAAGATGACGGTCTGGCTAAGGGTGATAGCGACTGATTAGGGACGATTGATTTGTAGCGGGCGACGACCACGACCTTGTACTGGACGCTGGCGATGCCGGCCTTGCACCAGACAACGATGAAATTGCTGATGATGGCGCCGGTCAATGACTGCAAATCCACCATTGATTATGGCGATAAAGTACGGATCTGCCTAAGGTTTGTTTGACAGCAGCAGTGGCCTTAATGAGTGCCGCGATGGGCGATACTGTTCGACGACGAGCGATGTTTTGGCTCTAAAAGTGGCGTTGATAGTCGGTGTCAGTGATGCGGCGCTGGAATTCTGGAAAGGGCCGGGGTCAGTGAGCGGCAACGAGATCTCTAAGCTATTCACAGGGTAGGTTAGTAGGAGTGTGATGTGGGGGTAACTAGGGGGTGCTCGGACGGTGATAGGGTACGCTGGTGGGTCAGGAAATGCTTGGCTGATCGGAAATGGCCATGGAGGAGTCTGTGTTTTAGGGGTAGGAGAAACGGGGATGCGGATGGCAGGGTCACTTGGAATGACATGTCACTGTAATAATTGTTGACGGTGGTCACTGTAATTGTCGTCCCTGAAGTTACTGTGACCGGTGGCGGAGGTCACCTTGTGCGGCTACGACTCACTGGCGTCTTGCAACAGGTCAAGGGATCGGTGGTCAGGTCAGTAGTTGTGTGGTGGCAGGTTGTTGGGACAGGGCATGAGGTCACTGTAACTGCCGGTGACAAAATGAGTGTAACTGCCGGTGGCGGTGGTCACTGTCGCTGGCGGGATTGGCCGGTGTTGGTCACTGTCACTATTGTCGGCGGTTGTCACTAGAGCAATAGTCACTGGAACAATAGTAACTGAGACGGCGGTCACTGGAGTGGCAGTGGTAACTAGGACGCATTTTGCACTTATTTTCGTGTAATAATAATAATTTAAATATACATTCAAATATCTACTACGTAGGGATTGAAATATACATTCAATAATAAATCTATTAAGAGAGTAATAATTTCTAGGGATTGAAATATTAAAGATACTCATAAAGTAATCCCAAACTTTCCTAGTATATGTACAACCATAGAAAATGTGGTTGATAGTTTCACTGTGATTGCAGCAAAGAAGACATCTGGAAGGCTGAAGAGTGAGATTAAATTTCTGCAAGGTGTCAGGCATTGGAAGATAATTGTTTATAAGCTTCCACATAAATATTTTTATCTGCATATGCTGATGTTTGTTCCAAATATGATTTGCTATGAATGTTGCTGAATGAACCTCTCTTATCTCATTGTAGGCAGAAGATAAAGAGAAAATGCCATGCTTCCCAGGTACCCATTCCACAGAACCTGAGGGCTGAGTATTGCTAAGGTCAGTAGCAATATCATTAATAGAACAGATCCTTCTCCAAATTGCAGAATTGGTAATCTTTACCCTCATATCCCCTCCCTAGGGTATTTAGCATTGATAAAGTCGCACCAGAAGGATTTTTTTTTCCATTTCCACCATAGTTTCAAAGTAAAAGATTTTTCAATATCAGACAACAATCGAAGTCCCAAACCCCCTTCTTCAACTGAGAAACATAATTTAGCCCACTTAGCCCAATGAACTTTATGTTTATCACCAGATGATCCCCAAAATAAAGAAGCCATTTTCTTCTCCAAAGTAGAAATAACTTTTTTAGGAAGAATATATGTGGCTGGAATATGATTTGGGATAGAACACAGAACATATTTAATCAAAACTAACCTCCCTCCTTGGGTTAGATTCTTCTGCTTCCATGCAAAAAGCTTAGAATCAAACATATTGATGAGGTTATCACAATAATGAAATCTGTTAATACCTTTATGCAGGTTGACACCCAAATATCTCATGGGAAGAGTGGACTTTGTCATTCCAAGGATCTTCTAAATGATTGAACTTCTGTAAGTTGCACCTTTCCCACATATGAAGCTGCTTTTGTCAAGGTTGACAGTCTGACCTGATGCAGCTTCATAGTCTTTGACAAACTGAGTAAAATTTACTAATGACCTAGAATCACCATTAGTAAAAACAAGTAGATCATCTGCATATAGATTCAAAAATTACAAGACTAGCTACCTCTCATATTAAGGTTGGTGTATAGAATTTCAAAAATTAATATGCATGAGCATGTGTTAGGAATAGCCATTGCCGTACCGGCCCCCATTGACTCCAAATTTTAAAAAGACGTACATTTTATTTACATGTTTAAGTTTCTCTATGTAAAAATTACATAATTTTTTATTGCCTTCAGGAGTTCAGGTTACACTATTGATAATATGTCATTAAATTCAAGATGAATGATTAGTAGTCATAATGTGAGATTTCCACTATATAAGCATAATGTGAGCTCTCCACTATCAAAATGCACCATCTAGCTTAGACAAAATGTCAAGTCAATAAAATCCCAAATTTTAAATATGGAATGATGAGGCTTGAAAATAAATCAAACCAAAATCTGAAAAATATTAAAGATGTTTTTCTTTTGTTATTTGATTTCTAGGAAAAAGATTCATATACGTACTGGAAAGGGGTTGAGCCAAGGATGTGTTTGACTGAAATATACTCCGGTATTTGATAAAAGAACTTTCTTACAAAGCACAACGCGGTTTCGGGAAAATCATACGGAGTATATGGTTACTACAAGCTCGGTCATGATAGTAATTTACTCCCAAAAAATATTCCTTTTCCGAAATTTCACATTATTTTTAATCCTTCTTGTGAAATCTCCAAAAAAGAAATTGAATCAAAGAAAGAGATAATTTATTTATACTCTATAAAAAAAAATACTCTATGCCTTAATACTTTGTCAACTTTTTTGTTACCCATCTAATTTCATCACTTTTCTTTTTAGTTCTCTCCCATCTATACAAACTTAACCAACCACCTAGAGAGTAAAAGTTAGGGCCCATTTGGTAGCACTAAAATCGGCTGATTCTGCCGAAACTTAAGAAGTTCTGGCTGAAGTGGCTACAATGATTGATTCTGCTAATTTGGGAAAAAACATATTTAAAATACAATTTATTAATAAAATAAAGAAAAAGTTATATGAAAAAATAACTAAAATGGTCATCTACCGCACCTTCAGCCAATACAGCTAGAAAAGTAACTTCAACTTTACTTTTTCTTATTATTATACAATTCGGCACGCGAAATCAAAAGTTACATGTTTGGTGAAAAAGTAAATTCCGAAAAGCCAAAAATCATGGTTATTAAACAGGTTCTTAATGTGCAACATAAAAGAGGAAAAAACGTTCGGGGCCTTAACGTACTTTGGTTATACACAAAATCTTTAGACTTTATTATGAAAAGTGCTTTGTACTTGATTGTGTCATAATGTATACTTGATAACTTACGCGTTAACATACTTTGGTTATACCTTTTCTCCGCTTCTATAAGTATGTACTTGCATCCGGGCCTATTCATCATATCATTCAATTCATGCTATATATATTTATTACTTGGCATATGCCATAATAATAACACACAAGTACGTTTCAAAACTTAACCCCCGTACTTAAGTTAATCATCCATCAATCACCACCACCACCACCGACAATGGTCTTTGCGGGGACGGAGATGGTTCTGATTCCCCAACTTCTATTAGTCACATGTCTCTACATGTTTTTCCTGAACACTTCCTACAGAATCGTCTCAACTTATTGGTTAACTCCAAGACGCATCAAGAAAACCATGGAGGAACAAGGGGTGTTCGGCCCCAAACCCCGGTTCCTCGTCGGAAACATCCTCGACACCGCCGCTATGCTCGCCAAGTCATCAGCCCATGATATGCACTCCATCCACCATGACGTCGTCCCCCGCCTTTTGCCCCATTTCATTGCCTGGTCCAAACAATACGGTACGTACTAATTACCTCCCCTCAATTGCTTTAAAAATTGCTAAACAATATCAAATCAGACCAATTCAAAATTTGAAAAGTATTAAAGACTATGTCACACAGAAACGTGAAATTCATGAGGAAATGAGAAACGAGAAACGTTAACTTTTGTTCAACGAATGCTTGTTTGAAGAGTTTCCGTGATATATAGATTAAAGACGTTTTTCTTTTGTAATTTCTAGGGAAAAGATTCATATACTGGAACGGGATTGAGCCAAGGATGTGTTTGACTGAAATAGATTTGATAAAAGAACTTCTTACAAAGCACAACGCGGTTTCGGGAAAATCATGGTTACAACAACAAGGATCCAAACATTTCATAGGCCGCGGCCTTTTGATGGCTAACGGCAACGACTGGCACCACCAGCGTCATATTGTCGCGCCAGCCTTCATGGGAGACAAGCTCAAGGTCTAACTTTCATTCCTTTTCTTTTTCTTGGTATTAGCAAATAATTAGGCTGACTTTGTTCTTTTTTTTGTCACCTACAATCCCATCAAATCAGAGAATAACATAAGAATAATATTAAAATGTGTACTCATAGATTTTGTGTTGTTTTTAGTACCCTGTATTGGTTTAAAAACACTAGCCATCATAAAGATTACTTTAACGCGCATATAAAAAGTAGTCCAAGTACAAGCAATAATGACTAGCTAGATGGAGTACATAACCCTTTGTTCTCATAGGCCATATGGTATAAAAGATCTCATCTACTACCTAGGATAGTATTTTCTCCGTCCATTGTCTCATTTTACTTTTCCGGTCCGTCCCAATTTTACATATCAAATTTGGTAAAGTTTATGTGGTTCTAAATTATTCTTACTTTATTCTTACTTTATTAATTCAATATCAACTACATAAATCACTTTTTATTAATTTGTGTGTCACTCTCTCTTATCTCATTATTAGAAGGACGGAGGAGTATTATTTATCATTTTTATTAATTTGGGTGTCGTTCTCTCCGTCTTTGATTCAATTTTACTTGTGCATCGTAAAAATGGAGAATTTTTAAAAAGTGTGCGGAACTGTTTGTGTGCTGTGTAAAAAACAAGTTAAACAACGTGTGCATGTCGACGCGTATAAAAAATGAATATTTAAAATATCTAACGACTTATGTAAAAAATTAAAATCTCATCACCACCCTTAAAAAAAGAAGACTATTGATTCTGTAAACACACTCATGAGGAAGAAATATACAAATATACAATCAAACACAATAACATAGAAAACGCCCATTTAATAATTTTAGGAGGTTATCAAGTTATACAGTGATTTCACATGCTCCTTCCCACATCATCGATCATCATCCGTGACGACATATTAATACGGAGTATATTATTAGACTTTTAGAATTTAGCTTTTCAAACTTTATTTTTTCCAATTTTGAGCTGCCTAGACACCTTTGGCAGTCTTTAACCGGTATCCACCAACTTGAGATTAATCTTTTTTGAGAAAACTATTCATAACAAAAACCGGATCCATCTAGAGTAACCAAAAACATATTTCTTCGTACTCATATAACTTTAGAGCCCGTTTGGAGAACTCTGTTTTCGGCTTATCAGGCTTATCAGCCAGCTTTTTCACCAAACACGTAACTTTTACTTTCGCGTGCTGAATTGTGTAATAAGCCGAAAAAGTAAGGTTGGAGTTACTTTTCTGGCTGTATTGGCTGAAGTTACTGTAGAGGACCATTTTAGCTATTTTTACATATAATTTTTTCTTTAATTTATTAATAAAATATATTTTTAAAATATTTTTTTCTTAAATCAACAGAATCAACCAAAACAGCCACTCCAGCCAGAATATCATAAATTTCAGAAGAATCAGCCAAAACAGCCGATTTTGGTGCTACCAAACGGGCTCTTAGAGTTTAGAAGTTATGGATCGATTAGTATAATATGTAACTTGCCCAAGAAGTATTTTTTATTTTAATCTCATAAAATGTCACTAGAAAAGTAGGAAGTAACCCGTTGTATGTTTTTTATATAAAATGTCACTACTCACTAGACTCACTACAAATAGTTCATTACCACTGGATATGCTTCAATAAAGGACTCTTTGTCGAAAGTGTGAATCAATAAGTTAGGGTAACGATTGAGTGAAACCATAAATCTCTATGACCATCGGGTACGCTTATTGATTCGCACTTCCCACAAACAATTAGTTCAAAGTGGGTGCGTGTGGGATTGCAAAACATGTTAATATAGGCTAGTGGCTCTCCTTTTGTTTTTCCATTGAGTTTAATATAACAAATAATTAACATTAGTTCTATTGCCATCAAAATATGAAAGAACTCATAGTTCTATCCAAGAAAAAGGAGAACAATAATGCTTAAATTGATCTAATTTCAATAATAGACTGTATCGGATTTGATAAGAAAAATTACACATGAAAAGATCACACTTGTTTCTAATTGATCAGACTTAAACAAGTCACACTTAACAAGATATCAAAAATCTTATACAAATCAGACTTTATTATTTATTAAGCACACCAGTTCAAACTAAATCACACGTGATTAGTTTATAAGGAACGAGTTTTAGATTGCTAGAATTAGGTAAATGGCTCTAGCTTATCGTCCTTCTTCGAGTTTTACGTATTACAAATTTAAACGTATACTCTCCATTCCCTAACAATGAGACAAGAGGGAGTGACACGCAAATTAATAAAAATAGGTTTATATGGTTGATATTGAATTGATAAAGTAACAATAAAGTAAGAATGATTTAGAGTCACACAAACTTTACCGAATTCGGTATGAGACAATCTCAGTGGGATAGATCGAAAAGGTAAAATGGGACAATCCTAACGGGACGGATGAAATATATACTCCCTCCGTCCCAATTTGATGATCTCATTTCTTTTTGGCTCAAAGATTAGGAAAGTGGTTGAAAAGGTAAAAGTTGTGGTTGAGATTTGAGTAGAAAAAGGTGAAATGATGTGGACCACATATTTCTTTTCAGAAAGGGAAATGGGACTATCAATTTGGGACGGCCCAGAAAGGAAATACGGGATCATCAAATTGGGACGGACGGAGTAATAAACAGTATGTCGCATTATGAATTACAAGTGTGTTTTCTAATAGTGAAAAGTGAAAATATTTCCCCCCTATTTCACTGTTTTACTAATGTTGATGATTGGAAAGCATACCCCCCACTATCACAATGTAGGAGTGAAAGCCAAGGATGAAAAACATAACTCTATGCATAGTACACTAGTACATACCAACGTGTGCTATTTTCTGTTTTAACGTTTTCTTCGATGTTGACGATCGCATCGAATTAAAAATTGATTGACAAGAATATGATGGATTAGCTTGTAATATGGCATTAAATAAATTAGTGGGCCAATAATTGTTGCAACTTATAGTATAATGTTTTTCCACTTTTGTTTGTGATTTTGGACTGTAGAGTTATGTGGGAAACATGGTGGAATGCACTGACAAAATGATCCAATCCCTCGAAAAGGCGGTGCAATTTGGGCAGCCGGAAATCGAGATCGGCGGCCACATGGCCGCCCTCACCGCCGATATCATTTCACAGACGGAGTTCGGCAATAACTGCGAAAAGGGGAAACAGATTTTCCATCTCTTGACCGATCTTCAGCATCGTTGTGCACAAGCTAGCCGCTATTTGTGTTTCCCCGGCAGCCGGTAATCTCTTTTTACATAAAAAAAAAAAGAAAGGGCACAAATATGGGGCGTTTGGTTTGCAGCCTATTAGCCACTTTTTGATCGATTTGACTAATATTTGGCTTTTTAACCAAATTAATCAACTAATAAGATGTTTGATTAAATGACATTTTCATTTGGTTTTTTATTCCAAACAGCCGAATTCTCAAAAGCCATAAAACGTGGCGTTTTACGAGTAGCCTTTTCTTATCTATCCATGTACTCCCTCCGTCCCTTATAACTTTGCCAACTTTTCATTTTTAGATATCCCATTAACTTTGTCACTTTCTCATTTAAGTATAGAATTTGTGGTTCCAGTTAATTCTCTCTCCTCTGCACAAACCTCAACCACACAGTTTTTACATTATTAATCCCCGTGCCGGTCAAACTTGGCAAAGTTATTAGAGACAGAAGGATTATAAATTATTAAAAGTATGATGAGAAATGTATTATTTTCGACGTTATTGAGGACATGATGAAAATATTTACATTTCCTGTGTAAAACAGTGAAGAGAAAAACAACGTAACAATAAAGACAACAAGCGTCCATGAGATATTTCTTTTTAGCTTTTTGTGCAATTTTGCTTTGTCTTGTGTATTACTCCCTCCGTCCCATGGAGAAGTTCCCGTGTTGACTTTCACACATATTAAGGAAAAATAAAGTTACTGAGGGGTAAATTTTACTGTTTGGCACTGTTTCGACACTGTTTGGCACTGTTTCGACAGTGTTTGGCACTGTTTGGCACTGTTTGGCACTGTTTTTATGTAGGATAACTTTCCATTTAAGAAAATGGGAACTTTTTGTTGGGACTGCCAAAAAAGGAAATTTGGAACTTCTCCCTGGGACGGAGGTAGTAATATATATATACTACGTACCACATACTTTTTTATGTTAAAATAATAATAATAATAATAATAATAATAATAATAATAATAAAAATAATAATAATAATAATAATAATAAAAATAATAATAATAATAATAATAATAATAATAATAATCATAATAATAATAATAATAATAATAATAATAATAATAATAATAATAATAATAATAATAATAATAATAATAATAATAATAATAATAATAATAATAATAATAATAATAATAATAATAATAATAATAATAATAATAATAATAATAATAATAATAATAATAATAATAATAATAATAATAATCAATGTAAAGTAAATTTTACATTTTTGAACCATAAAACGGTTTAGGGAATTATATATGAAATATTAATTACATTAACAAAAAATTAATTGATGTCCTTAACAGTCATTCAATAAGTTATCAGCCGATTGTAAACAGCCTTTTAATCAAACACGATTTTACAAACTGCTAATACTATCAGCTAATCAAAACAGCCAACAAAATCCGCTGTTATCAATAAGCCAACAAAATCAGCCAACCGCTAACAACTAACGGCCAATTGCAAAACACCCATGACATTTGGACTCTAGAAAGACAAAAACGTCATTAATTGATACTCATATTTAAAAAGGGCTTAAATAATTCAAACTTTAACACTGCTTTATTACTTCTAAAAAAACTACTTTCCTACCCTCTAGCAATATAATCACCACAGCTGTAAGAGAAGTGTTTTTTTGACTTTATAGAAATATTGGCTATGACATATAGCACACCTTTGACCGGAAAAGTGGAGGTGAGAACTTAATTATGGAACCGTGGGAGGGAGGTAGTATTTTGTAAGGAGGTTTTAGTTGATACCGTTTTCACTTCCACGTTAGACCATACCAAATCAGCTAACTTGCATAGTTATAAAATACACACAGACAAGACATTTATCAGATCAAATTAGAAAATTTCAATCCAACTAAAAACGTTCTAAGTCACTTTTTATTTATATTCTTTCAGATTTGACATAATTATTAATAACGTGGTTCATAATTAAAAGTTGTAATTTAGGTTTAAATAGAATAAAGTGAAATAATATGAGTTGCATACCACTTATTGGTCAAAAAAGAAAAAAGATATTATTTTTTACCATTGAAATTTGAAAAAGAAAAATAAGCCACATAAAGTGGGACCGAGAGTATTTTAGGAAATCCGGACTATTATCCTCCTATATGTATATAGGCCGAGTTATAATTTAAAAATATTCAGGAAACCAACTATTAAAACTCTTGCCATGAGGTTAGTATAAAAATGTATAACCAGTATCTTAACTATTATTTTCAAAAAATATATTATTTTGAATCCATCATATTTTTAATTGAACGAAGAATATCCTCAATATTTTAATTACATTTTAATATCTCTATTAATGATATGATTTGAAGTAAGACAGGATTGATTAGAAATGAGACATAGCATATTAGGGTGTCTGGAATTGATTCTGCTATTGCTTCTTTTTTAAAAGCAAAATTAGAATAAGAAATGATTTTCTGAAGTTGGTCCCCCTATCTTCTAAAAAACTGATTCTAAGAGCAATTTTGAACACTCGGAAGCACTTCTGTAATTTTACCCACACACTCTCATTTCTGTTTCTACTCCTTAAAGGAGCAAAAACAGTTTTAAGAAGCAGATTTAAACACCACATATCATGTGGAGTCTGGTTCATTTGGAATGGGATGATATTACAAATTTGGTTGATTAATTTGAGATGGAAGGGGAATTCATTTTACCAAACCAGCTAATTTTTAATTGAATTTCAAATGGTCCGGCCGTCTATGAGAACAATATACGGAATTATCTATTATTATGCTAATCTACCTCATTCAATTATTTAGAATTTAGATAGTGAAACGTCATCCATCATCTTTTTTTAGTGTGAGCAATGCCTAGCATAATGCCTATCATTTACAAAGGAAAAATAGCAACATTAAGATGATAAGACCGAAGCTCAATTCTATAAGAAATACTCCATACATCGATCATTCATAATACAAAATTTTGTCCATAAGGTTGTAACCGTTGTATTTTAATTTTACGAATTACTCCCTAAACTATTATTAAATATTTCGTAATATGTATGAAGAAAAACGTGACTAAAGTTATTATGCGTGTAACATCGTATCGTAGTTTCTATAATGTAAAATTAATCACAACCAAATCACAAAAAGTAACCAATACAGTGACTTCATATATAAGTCAAATGTATACATATATTTGTTTGTCAATCTTTATTTTATTCTATTACATACATATACATGCCAAATGATGTTTTATTTTTTATTTATTATTTATTGTTGACAGGTTTTTTCCAAGTAAATATAACCGAGACATAAAATTGCTAAAATTAGAGGTGGAGAGACTGCTAATGGATATAATACAGAGCAGAAAGGATTGCGTGGAGATAGGTCGAAGTAGCTCGTATGGAAATGACTTGCTAGGGATGTTATTAACGGAGATGAAGAAGAAGAAATGTGAGGATTTAGGGTTCAATTTAAATATGCAGTTGATCATGGATGAGTGCAAGACTTTCTTCTTTGCTGGTCATGAGACCACTGCCTTGTTACTCACATGGACCATAATGCTCCTGGCCACAAACCCTTCTTGGCAAGAAAAAGTCAGGTCCGAGGTTAGACATGTCTGTAAAACCGACAAACACCCGCCCTCGGCCGACCACCTCTCCAAGCTCACCGTGGTATGTATCCACTCTTTCCTATCTACTCTGTTTTGAACTAGTTTGATAAAGCCTGATAGATTTTATGTCTATGTGTATTTTATAACTATTGAAGTCTGGTATGATCTGACCTGATTTGTTTAAGTATGATCTGGTCTGTTCTAATTTGGTCTGGTCTAAGACTGAAACCAATTCAAATAAAAACATCTAAAAACGAGGTGTGATAAGATTAGCTGCACTTTTTTTTACATAAGACAATATTAGACTTAGACAAGATAAATAACTTTTGTGAAAGGAAAACGTCAAAGATATATTAAATCAAACAGTCGTTCGCCAAATGGCTCATAATACAATCAGGAGGAATGTTAAAAAAATGAACAGCATCCGACATAGAAAGAGCAACCCTTACTATCTCATGAGCTACTCTATTCGCGGACCTCTTGCAATGAATAACTTCAATACCTCTCTCATTCCGAAGATTGTGTCTAATATCATCAATGACACTATCAAAATAAGAAACCCCATCCTCATCCAACAAACTTGTGACAACATTGAGAGAATCTGTCTCTACTATAACAGATGGCCATCCCTGTTGCTTAACCCAACGCAAAACTTCTAACACCCCCAAGGCCTCCGTCACATTTACTAAATACACATATACTAAACATTTACGGGCTTGATTACACTCAAACAAACAAGACCATACTATATCTGAAAATTTGGGTGAATTGTACAATACTAATAGAATATACGTAGTATACAAATGTAGAATAATATAACATTATTAAAGATATCATTTTTTATA